TGCTTGCGTTCGGCGAAAAGTAGCAGCTGTATAAGGTAAAAACCTTAAACACTATATGTATATACAAAGTCCCAGTACGCCATCCTCCGTTTGTGATCTTTGTATGATTTGGTTCCGAAATTGCCAGGATGTCGATATAAGTTTTCCTTGCGGTGGCTTCTGCTAGGTTGTGTGTTGTATGACAGCGGTTGAGATTTATCTGCAATATTTTGATAGAGGTGCATGGAGTATTAGGCATGTTTTGATTTTCTTTGGTAGACCTGTGTTTTTTGGGAATGTGAACTCTACTGTCCATTTAGCTTGTTGGTCTCCCCCAGCTTTCGTCTATGTTAGTCGAGCAGTTCTTGGTACTTGAGACAGCCTGTGTTGTCCATTCTGTGTCTTTTTTCGTTGCAGCTGAGGCATTGTGGTTCCTCGGAGCATAGCTTAGCGTGTGCTGTACAGCCGCATTTCTTGGATCTGTCTATACCTGTACGGTCTGCGGTCCCATGTCCAAAACCAAGGCATCTATAGCAACGATTTAGCTGAACCTTGAGTTTTACTCTGCAGGTGGACCAGCCGATTTCAATCTTGGTGGACTTTAGGAGTTTACCGCCGCATACATGCTGCACAGCGACCGTGGCAGATTGGTTTTCGCTTTTGCTGGTGTTAATCGCCCTAACCTCAAAATTTTGTCGTTCAATACCGGTTTCTCTGGTAAAAGCCTCTGCTACTTCTTCACCATTGGTATCTCTGTCAATATCTAGAATGAAGAAAATTTGCTCCCTGGATTTGACCTTAACTTAAGTATTAGTCATATTTTTGTTGGTCTCGTTTTTCAGCGAGTTTGCATCCTGTTTTTCTACTACTTTAAGACTTAGAGAGCCGTCTCCAGTCTTCCTGAGAGAGGATATTTTGCTTCCTAGCTTGCCTATTTCCACTGAGTTTTTACCATTCCTAAGGATATCGCAATAGCAAAGCCGCAGACTGGAAAGACCTAAAACTCGACCTTTCCGTGGTTACATCCAATTCGACGATTGAGGACAATGGCCGAGCGCCACAGGTACTGTCACGCATTAGTTCTTACGTGGACAACGTTGTAGTCAGACCCAAAACTATGAGGAAAACTCTTCTGACACTAGGAAATCTTGTGGTCCTGACGGCATTCCATCAATTGTTCTCAAAACTTGCGCACATTAATTGGCTTCAGTTTTTTTGCAAACTGTTTTTTTTTTTTCTCTTACAGTCGAGGCATTTTCCCGTCAATCTGGAAATGTGCCAGAGTGCAGCACATCCCGAAAAAGGACAAGAAAACTCTTCCTAGCAATTATTGTCCCATCTCAGTTATATCCGTACTTTCGAGAGTAATAGAAAGGGCAGTCAACCTGATACTGGTTAAATACCTGGAAGCCAATAAGATCATCTCTGACAAACAGTACTGGTTCCGTTCTAAAAGATCAACATGGGATCTGCTGGCGTCCATCAGTCATATTTGGAACTCGACTCGAAAAACATGATGAATCCAGAATTATAGCATTGGACATATCCAAGGCTTTTGATCAGGTGTGGCACAAAGGTTTTCTCAGCAAACTTCCATCGTATGGTTTTCCGAACAAATTTTTTCATTGACTGAGGAGCTTTTTGGAAGACAGGACACTGCATGTTGTGGTCGACGATACAATGCCTAGAAGTGCCTGCGTTTCCCAAGGCTCAATTCTGTCACCAACAATGTTTCTCATTTTTATAAATGATTTGTTAAATGTGACAAGAAACTCCATATATAGCCTTGCGGACGATAGCAGTTTGATAGCATCCGCATCTTTCTCTTCTGACAAACTGCTCACTGCAGCCACTTCCACATGCCTCGCGCGAGAACAGATTCACTGTATCAACAGTGATCTTGACACCATTATCAACTGGTGCCTTAACAACCTAGTCAAATTCAATGCTTCCAAAACTCAAGCAACAGTATTCTTATCTGGAGCGATGCTTCCAAGCATTCGTTGGCTCTATTAGATGCTGTATAAAGAAGAGCAATGAAAATGATCAATAATTCAACTCCCTTTAATTCATTGCAATCTCTCGAACATAGACGCAAGGTGGCCGACTGGTCGTTATTCTATCGCTATTGCCATAGGAGACGTTCTGTCAAGCCTCATTCCAGCGAGGAGAAGCTATTTGGGAACCACAAGCGCCTCATAGGCATCCCATCCGTATGTGGTAAAGATGGCTACCCCAGGGACCTCTAAATATAGGGCTTCTTTTTGGTGGGGGCAGTACCTCTGGAACTCCTTGCCTCCTACTATTCCTACTTCATTTCCTGAACGATTTAACCTTAACATGCTCAAACGGAGGGGTAATTGGCGTTTAATTTCTACGGCTCATGGTACCGCTTAGGTAGTATAAACTACCGTGAAAAGTGAAGACCAAAAACCGCCTTTTACTGAAGGGTCGTCATTTTCTCTCTGCCGGCCTATTGCAGAGCTATATCTTACTTTTTGTGAGTTGTCCGATGAAACTAGGAGATCTTATGAAAACAATTATGTATTGGACAATCTAGCGCTGTTGATCAGCGGAGAACCGTCGAACAAGGAAAGTACCAAGACCACGCCATTCATTTACAAGGCTTTGCAAGGGGAAGAGGTAATAAGGGCGAAAAATGCCATAATTGTGAAAACGTAAGACTGGTTAAGACAGATTAAAAAGCATTTACACCTAAAGTAGGATGCGACGAGGGATTTCAGCTTCCGTACCGGTGGTCGGCATTTATATAAAACTAGAAGACAGAAGTCAAATTTGAGAAACGACATTTCCATAGGATGACCAGGAATAAAAAGGAGAGACAACTATTATTTGAGACTGCATAAAAACAACTCATCAGGGATTCGAAGACAAATTAGGTGACATTTCAATGATCCATAAATCAGTAGGCATTGGAACTGACTACTGAAAACTTTCAGTTTTGTATTCTTAGAGCTCAGGATGGCACGGTAACCAGGGCAATGCCAAGAAGTTCAAGCAGAGAAATTCCTTAATAAGTTAGTTAAGTTAGGTTACAGGAAATAGAAGACTTGCCAGAGAATGGAGAAGCTGAAAAGCTGCGAGGAGTAAGATAGTTCTACATTCATTAGTATAGTGCGGAGTTCTCAAGGAAGACAAAAATAAACCGATTGGATCAGAAAATCCAAGAACTCGACATTATCGAACACTCTGCCAGAAAGAAAGAGAACCATCAAACGGACGCAATGAGATGATATACTCTGATAAAGACGAAGCTAAAGCTTTCGCAGATAGTTCAGAGCGAGAAAGTCGCCCAAATGAACACCCTGATGAAAATCACTACAAGTGGCAATGCAACTACGTATCAAAAATCACGTCAGTCAGTTCCTAGAAAACTCAGAGTAGATCATCACAGACCTGAAAGCCAGGAAAGCACATTGTTCCATGAGGATTTTGTTATCCATACAAAATGAGCACCAAAGTATTCCGCTCAAGTGCAGAAATGCTGCCCCTGCATTTTTGAATATTAACGGTGAAATGAGAAGCTCGTCATTTATCCGTCTTCTTATGTGTAGCATGTGAAATGCTACTGTTATTAACTGTTCCCTTTTCTTTCGAATATTGTCTTCCTAAGTGAAATATAAATATCGATTACCGTTCTCATGGAAAAAGTACCTTATCGGCCATCTGTCAATATTTTAACGAAATAAAGTTGCGTAAGGAATAATCCATTGATTACCGAAAAAATTTGAATAAAAAGTCTCACCTTGATTCCAGGCTAGAATCTGCAACTTCCATTTGCAACTTCTCTCGTCAAGTGGCCCAAAATGGATGGCTACCGACTACCGTACTCTACCTTTTTGTTGGAATTGAGTTGAAGCTTGTATAGAGTCTCAATTATAACTTTTATTTCCTCTTTTATGCAATCTATTTTATGATTAAATACCATAATTTCATTACATTTAAATATTTAAAATTTCAATTTCATTCATTACATTCTTGACACTGAAGTGAACTTTAAATAATTATTTCCGATTTCTGACCATATTTATTGATACAAATCATTATTATTATTTTTTTAAATTAGTTTCCTGGAAACTTAAATCTTTACATTATCCTTTCATGATAATGGTATGGCCAGAAACTGTTAATGAATTTATATGGCAAGTATTTACATTGTAATATTATCTTTTTTTTTTTTAATTTGATGAAACTGATTGAAAGTTAACCTCTATTTATTGATTTGGTTTAAAGTGTTTTACCAGTAATTGATTTTATACTTTGAAATTTTTCAATACTTGATTTTTGACCCCACTGTGAAATATACACTAACTTATTTTGAAACTTACTTAATGGTTTCATTGTTTTACCTGTGTCAAGATTTGGTTGAGTCATATGCCTTATTTATTTCCTTTTCAGTTTTTTTTTTAGGTGGGTTTCTGAAATTTCACCCTTAAATATTCTATGTAATTCAATTATTTATTCATTTTTTAAATTCAGTGCCACCCTTGCCATTCTGTATTTATCAAACTATTGACCCACCCCTAATAATTATTCGCTGAGCATATTTTGGGCCTTTTGTTAAATTGTTAACAAAAGGGGTTACAATGTTGGTAAGGCTGAAGACACAATGTCGAATACAAGAACTGTGACAGCATACAAAAATACTGGGTATGGATACAAATTTTCGAATACATTATTATCTGAAAATGAAAGTGAAAGCGATGGTAGCTACTAGATACATATCTCTTATTGTGTTTTGAGTATCATCAGAGTCGGTATTTTGTATTTTGCTGCTTATCACCTGTAACTTGTATTGGTTTGAAATTTTATGTTATATTTTCAGTGGAGAACTCTTGAATCACCTTGATGTTGCCTGCGCCAAAGGCCTTGATATCCCTGATAAAATATTGTGTCTTAAAAATAGAAGTAAGTGCAAGATAATTAATTATTTTGAATAATTACCCAGGTGATGAGACGAATAACTAAAAAAACATCAATAATCAAATGTTAAAATTTACCTTATTAATAATTTCGTCGAGGAAAGATAATTGGCCATCCTTCCTGGAATTATCTTCAGTATTTGGTGCCATGTTACTTGCAGAATCGAAGAAGTCACTGGAATAAAAAAATATATATATTTAAATAATATTTAAAACAATATTGGCAATGCTATTGAATTATTAATGGACAGTAACCAAATTACATCTTCATCATAAAAGTGTTTACCTACATTAACACAATAATTTTTTACATTTTATGTTTGCCATTAGCAAACAAAATTAAGGCAATTATCGAAAGTAAAGTGTACATTTTGTTCAGATGCCTTAAATGTTTACCTGTTTTTGTTACCACAATTATTTTAAAATATTTGATTTGAAGAAACCGTTTTTTTAATTAACGATCAAATTAGTTTAATTATCGAAGGCTACATGGGTAATTAGGATTACTTAAAAGAAAACAATTTTTTTGTAGTGATTGTTGAATTTGCTCCATCTTTATTTAATGTTTATGAAAAAACATCACGATTCGCTTTAATTATTTCATTCCCATAAGGCGTGTCACGGATTCAGCATAAATAAGCGAGCTACTAATGAGTATTAACTAATTAAGAATTTTAATACACATATTTGTATAGTGAAAAGAAGAAAAAAGACTGCCGCTTGATGCGATTCGAAATATAAATACTTCAGGAAATTGATTACTAATTAATTACAATTGCAAGAAGATGACGTATAAGTGCATCAGTAAATATTGTGTGGTATGAACACAGAAGGAAATTGCAGGCTTAAAAGTGAAAATTTATCTGTTATTCGAGAAAGCTTCCTTTATAGTACTAGTTTTTGTGACATACGTAATAGTAAATTTAAATCGAGATGTTTAAGTCGGTTAAGCTTCCGATATGTCTTGAACAATGTTGACTAATCTAAAAGTGCTTCGGTGATGATAATTGACAAACCAATAAGGATAGACAGGAGTCAAAATAGTTTATTGAAGTATCAACTTTTATTTCTGATTTAGAATATGTTTAATGGTTTTTAATTGAGCTGTCATATTGTAACTTGTACCTAAATTATGTCCAAAGCCCCCTGAAGAATTTAATCTCTTAGGCATGAAGGAATTCAAATATACAATACTTGTGAATCTCTATCTTAAAAAGCGAAAAATTTGCTAAGTTTCCGAATTTTGAATTGTCCCAGGATATTGAATATCGGGATTATACATTTGTGCCTTGCTTTTCTTGAGAAATATCATTGATATTTTCTTTATCAGCCAAGTGCTGGATTATTGCCGAAAAGTTGTTTGGAATGTGGAATTCGATAGAAAAAAAATGTAACATAAAAAAAGTTAGTGCGTAAAAATTTCTGGTTTAGGGTCCCAAAAATCGTACAACGGTCTTTTCCATTTCGTCCAGCGACAAGAACACTTTGGCTTTGGCCTGAAGGATAGTTTTTTTATCCGGTTGACCATAAAGAAAATTAAGTGATTTTCTCTATTTAATTAGGATCCGGTCATCCAGATAATTTCAATTTTGGTTTTGCCAGTCTAGTTTTGGTTTTTGTTACCTTTTGGCAGCCAAATCACCTTTCTAAGGGATTTATCTATTTCTTCTAGTCGGTAAGTCCACCATTTTGTGAATTTGTATTGTTGTAAATTAATTAGTTCTATTCTCACAATAGAATATCACATCACGTCGCTTGGATTGAATTGTTTGAGCCTAGACTCTTAGAGCCTTGATTTTATTGTTGCTCGTTATTGTGAACTTCCAAATTGGATCAGCCAGCGTAGGTGAAATTAGAGTTCCATGACCTTCCGTTCACCTTCAACCTTTGAGCTGTGACCCTCAAAAATCCACGAGGTAATTATAATGGCAATTTTCCATTTTAATGTTTTATTGGGGGACCATTCTATGCCACATTGATTGGTAGACTTATAGTTTTTTTTATTTTAATATTTTTTTTTGGCAATGCAACTTAATTTAATGAATTGAACTCATTATATTTGGTAAATGGGTTAAAACTTGGGAATTGAAATGTACAATTTCATATCCCAAGTGGCATAATTTCAATGGGGATTTAAGGGTAATTTATTTACTCATTGGTGCTTTCTTTAGGGTCTTATGGTACGGTTTTATGCTACCGTTTTCGATAACGCAACTCAGTGGATGTTTTGATGGTATGCAGTACCCACCACTGTATCTGAATAGTAAAGACTCGGCGAACTAGTTTTCATTGATGAGATAGATCATCTGGTACGAGTGTGAAATCCCAGACCCATTGTTAATTGTCGGCATAAAGCTAAGTAGTTTAGTGTAATTTTTTTATTAATTATTTATAAATATCGTATATGGCTTAGGTAACTTTAGTTACTCACATTTAAGTGAACATTTGACCCCATTTATTTGCGGAGTGATCACTGACGCTGGGTGTGTGTTAATTCGCACTTATTGGTTATTTTAGTTTTAAGTATAGCTCTCTGCTTACATAGGTATTCATACATATCAATACCGACAGACAGTTTTCTTAAATCTGACTATGAGGAAGCCTTTAGGTTCTTTATTCCTGCTAGTCGTCATACTAGCCTCTGAATACTTGTCATAATCATTATTTAATCACCATAACTTGTACTAAATCAATGCTTAATACTCAATAAATACTGATTTTGTTGTATTGCCAATTACCTGCTTTCTTTGTCTTTTTGCTTATCCAATTATTTTCTTACATTTCAGGCATAATAATTTGGTTTGTACTTTAGTTCAACCTGCAGTCATCGCAGGACTTTTTCGATTTAGTTTCAAAAATTGGTGGCGCACGAATCCACGAACCGGGCACGTGGACACTTTAACAAACTCTGTTGAACTAAGGTCGCAATCCAAATAAGGTTACATTTTGGTAATTGATTTTTCTTACGTAAAATAAAAGTGTTACAACTGGCGCCCAACGTGTTCTTTAAAGAAAGAAATAGGGGTTTCTTTATTTAGTCAAAGCTCAGTTAAAGTATGGTACAGTTGGTACCAAACTTTGTTTTTTTGTAGATTTTTTTTTTTTTTTTGAAAAGAGAGAACTGTCTGATTGAAATTTGATAATTGGTATTAATTTTGTAACCGTCAATTAAAATTAGTATTCGCCTAACGCCTTAGTATAGCGTAAGTTGTTGCATCACACCGTTCACCATTTCAATAAAATTCAATTTTGGGGTTCATTAATTATTATTAATTAATTACATTTATTAAGGTATTTTTTTAAATTATTATTATTGCAATTGAATACTTCGTGATACAATTTTTTTTTTGCTGCGGTTCCTTGCGTGTCAAGTATAGGTACATATATATACATATTTTTTTTGTTTTTATTTTTTTTTTTGATTGATTGATCAAATTCTTTGGAAGAGTACAATTATTGTTGGTAAGTGGGTGATAATATCTGACCGTCATCTTTTGTGTGTTTATTTTATACCTACAATTTACCCTGATTTTTTTTTAATACTGTTTTTCTTCTGTCATCTTGATCATGGATTATAAAATGCAAATCAATTACCTTAAGAAGGAAATGCTTGCCTACGAACTGTTTACGCGCGGGGTTACCGTTGATGATTCTAGAACTGTTGAACAGCTGCGTAGTGCTTTGCGTCCACTATTGAAACTTGAAAAGGGGGGAAAGCCATTGACTGTGTCTGTTTATACTTGCGATGTGGATCAGGAGTTTGCTTATATTTCTGCAACTCTCCAGGATATTTCTACTGCAATTAAGTCTATGGCTCCAGAAAATGCAGTTGCCAAGTTCGAGCGTAATCAAACTAGATTAGTACATCTCCTCAATAGGACTGATCGTATTCCCCTAAGGGATTTGTCGGAGCAACAACTGCAGCAGAGAGGTTCTTTTCTTGCTGAAATTTTGGGTTTGTTGGATCGTCTTGAGATCGTTTCTGTTACTGATCCTAATGTTAGTGCTTTGTTGGCCGAAGGTGAAAATGTTGGCCACACTTCCTCTTCAACACCGGTTAAGGCAACTCCAGTCAGTATTTTGAATCAAACTTCCAATGTGGTACCGAAGTCACAACCTGTTCAGAAGTGGAATCTTAAATTTAGTGGTGACTTGAAGGTCAAGTCAGTCCATTTTTTCTTGAGGAGGTGGAAGAAATGAGAATTGCCAGACATACAACGGAGGAAGAACTTTTCGACTCTGTTAGGGACTTGTTTGTAGGAAAGGCTTTGAATTGGTTCACAGCAAATCGCTCTAGATTTTCCAACTGGAAGGAATTGTCTGATTTGTTAATATTGCACTTCCAACCACCAGATTATAAAGCAAGATTATTCAGGGAGATCCTGGACAGAACGCAAGATCCTTCCGAGGGTATTATTGATTACTTGACCACCATGAATGTTTTGTTTCGTAGGTATCTCAATGTTCCTGAGGAGGCTCAGTTGGAGATTATTATGAGGAACCTGGCTCCCTTTTATACAACCCAGCTTCCAGTTGTTAATACTTTGGAGGAATTGGAGGTTGAATGTTTGAAACTAGAGGCTAAGAAGTACCGTGCCGAACATTATGTTCCGCCACCTCGTAGACGAGTAAATTTGGTTGAGCCGGATTTTGCTTTTGTTGAGACCTCCGATACGGTTCCTGATGTTTCCGCATTAAGGTTGAACGAGGGGTCCGGTGCAGAAAATTCCAATCGTTCGCGTTCCTCTGCACTGTGTTGGAATTGTCAAAAGCCTGGACATCTGAATAGGGAGTGTAAACAACCCAAAAGGCTACATTGTTACAGGTGTGGTCATTCTGGCTCGACAAGTCGTAATTGTCCAAATTGTTCGGTTTCGGGAAACGGATTCCGGGGGAATCGAAGTTAGGTCATTTGATATCCCCCACCAGTTCAGATTCATTGGCCTCTTCTAACAAAATTGTACTGGATTTTATACTTTCTCATGCGCAGGGTGACCAAAGACCATTTTTAGAGTTGTCTATTCTTGGGCTCCCCATATTAGGTTTATTGGACAGCGGTGCATCTCGCACGATAGTTGGATTGCCGGGTTATGAGATTTTAAAGGGTTTGGGTCTTAAACTAATACGACAAACAGTTTGTTGCACTGTGGCAAATGGCCAATCCTCTACTAGTTT